CCACCCATTGCTTTATCGGTTTGGTCAAGGAGGGTAGCCAACAAGTGAGCATAGTTGAGTCACCGCTGCTGGGGTCACCACAAGTAAGCGAGGAAGAAGAATAGAAAATTTTTATTTTCTAATCACTTTTAGAATAGTACCGGAATAGCTTGGAAATTTTGTAGAAAAATATCATAGTTCAAAAATTCTGAAAATTTTAGGTAGCTTCTGTACATAAAAGTTCTAGTATGATTTCAAAAATTTGAAATTTGAAAATTTGGATAAATTCTAGCTGTTCAAAAATTCAGCCATCTAATTAATAAATGTACTTCCATGATTTTGTAGGCCACCGATAACTCCAAAAAATTATGAAATTTATTTTGCACACTAAATTATCATGAGGATGCTTGTGTAAATTTTTGAGATCATTTGGAGCAAGTTCATTTTGAGCTTAATTCAAATTTTAATTAAAAAATAATAAAAGGTAAACCCTAAGTGTAGTTTAGGTTTGATCTTTGATTTGGGTCATGTAGTGACTAGTAGGGTCCCAAGATCCATTTGGTCAAGTCACATGTATGGTTCTTAACGGTAGATCGCAAGTTGGTTTGTTGGCTCGTAAACCTGCATCATAGAAATAAAATCATTTATGGGTGTTTTTTACATTTCATGTACCGCGAAAGCATCATGTTTACATTATCATCAAGTTAAAAGACATGTGATCATTTCGTGTAGAAACCGAGAATCCAGAAACGCTTCTAGTTGAGTAAAAGTTCTCGAAGAATCCTGGTTGTCGTATGGATTTGATAATTGTGGGTACTAATCCTAACCCAAATGGTCATCGAAGGCAAGCTCCTATGCTTATGCATTAAACCATTACCTTGTTTATTTTGAAAAGTTTATCACTTATGTTACTTTTATCGCATTGTTGTTTAATTCAAATGCATACCTATTTGTCGTGACATTGGCCTACCTTGTTAATTGTTTACCATCTCGAAGATGAGATTTATTTTACAATGGAATGAATTGCTTAGTATGCTTTTATGGTAGCTTTTCAAAGTAAAAGTTTCGAAGATAATCAAAGATGGCATAATCGGCCAAAGAAAGAAAGAAGGAAGGTAGAATGGACTAGAGACTAGTTGGGTGGCTTATCTTGAATGTTGGTAATGTTGTTTACTCACGCCGCTTAAAGGCCACTCATCAGGATCTTTCCAACTAGACACTTTGTAGTACTAGTCACATACATCCCAGGTAAGTTTACTTCGCTAATCCGATATTTAGATCTATGCCCACGCACCGGAGTGGTGAGATGGCGTGGAGTAGCGTGCACCGTGGCTTGAATGGGATTTGATTGGTGTGTCGTGTTTCCTGGTATGGAGATGGCTTAGTATAGGAGGATTCTAAAGAGGTTATATTGATATATGCAAGATTGGGTTCTACATATGTCGGTGATAAGGAATCCTCAAATGGGACTTGAATCAATTGAATTGCCGTTTGCGTTCATGTGGATATGGAGACTGATTCATTAAGCTGTAAGCAATGTAGGACCTGTGAATTACTAAAAACATGAGAAAAAGAATGTGGACGAGAAGGATCGGGAATTATGGGAACACCTAGTTGGAAATAATATTGAACTAAAATACTTAGTGTTAAACTTCTCAAACCGTGGATCAAGAATAGTAAGCTTTTAGTAAAGAATTTTGAATCTTTCTACATCCTTACCTTTTGACCCAACACCGCATCCCTAAGACCTCGGCTTTTTTGCTCGGGTCATTTTGTTGAGTACTTTTTGTACCTCGTGGTTTGTTAACCCTTGTTGTAGGTGAGCGCATATGTGGTGCTTGTTTTGGTCCCCGTCGATGTCAAGCAGTATGAAGTCGGATGACGATATGAATGATGAATGGCCTTGGACAAGGTAATTAGCTTGTGTGAAATAAATAATGTTAATGTAATATTATTCGCTACTATGGTTGTATAATACTTATGGTTATGTAAGTTTGAAATAACCGGTTTGTAATATTAAACTTAAGTCTTTCGCTTTATTACATTCCGTATGTATATAAAAAAATGTTGTAATCTGGTGAATGATCTGATTAAATCCTGTTTGAAATGTGGATGACGGTTTCGAGGACACCCGATGTCACTCCGGTAAGTTGTTGGGAACTTGTGTACACTTATCTGAGGTCTGGTTGAGACAACGATAGGTGCACGCGGGCCCAATTTCTTAGGAGGTTCTGCCACAAGCTCAAAGGTCACCAAGGGTATGTCATCTCTTTGCCATCTTCCATGAGCGGGATTCGGGTACCGCGCAAGACAGATTCACATTAGGGGCTGATTACTATGAGGTAGAGTCAGCAGATTCAACTCCCATGTGATTCAAACATGGCGCAAAGATTTGTTGCCCTCGCGCGAGGGTTTCCAGGGATCGATCCTCATTTTGATCTGTGGTATTTCTTTAACATTAGTCCTGCCAAAGAGGAAGATTGGGGGAAAGATATGAACGTTACCGATGGGGTGTGCTGTGCCAAAGATTCATCTCAAGGCCATACCCTACCGAAGGGTTACCCATGGTATGCGTTCAAGCGACATCCAACAAGAGATGGCACTCACAAAGTGGTTTTACGTTAGGGATGACGCGAAAGCCACCTCTACCAAGTATAACCGGACATCTTATTGTGGACGCCCGAGTCGTAATGGGGCGCCCGCATCAAAAAGAGACAAGAAACACATCTCCGACCTTCTTCTTTTCAAGGCTTCCACACCGGCGGGTCCGGTGGTCTGAAGGGATTATCGGTCGCTCACCATGCTAGAGGGTGGCGCCCGATGGCGCTGGGTAGCTTCTCGCATCGATGATGCCCGGATATCGCCGAGGGGATGGTGTTTGTCGACAAGGCGCCCCTTACTCGGAAGTGGCGCAGTCGTGATCAAGGAGGCGATTTGAGCCGACGAAGGATTCTGCAAAGGTGGTCTCGACATTGTGTATTCGGTGTCTTGACACCCCCTAATGCGCCAGTAGCCGGATTCTTGAATTATAAGTTCTCCTCTCCGTGTCTTTTCTTTTTCCGGATCTCTATTTTTTAACACTTGCTTTATGACGCTGGGGACCAGGCGCTCGGTTCTTGCGACAGCCCAGCTCTAACACCGGCCAAGGACAAGGTCGTGGCGGCGGCGAATCGACTTTACAAGCGGGCAAGAAAGCAAGGGAAGAGATGAAGAAGGCAAAACGATCAAGCAGGAGGCACGGGATCGGGAGAGGACGGGAGCAAGGAGGACGATTTAATGATGATGATGATGATGATGATGACGATGATGAGGTAGCCGCTTGGTGGGATTGAAGGCCCTGGAGGACGAGAGGACACGCCAAGAGTGGCCACCATCCGGCAGTGGGCCCTTCCTTTCCACGCTGAGGGGAAGTAGGGATGAGGTCTGGAGGTCGGGCGAGTCCGCCGCTTCAAGACGGCGATGCCGCAATGCCAAGGACCCGTGGATGGGGAGGGCGGACTCCGCCGCCGCCATTCCCCGAGGCGACGATGGAGTGGGACAGCCCGTGCCGCACCTCAAGAGACGATTTGGAGGAGGGGACGGCCCGGTGCCACGCCCGACGAGATGAACCCCGCCCCGCAGCAGGGGGGTGTATGAAACGAAGGTCCCGGCCTGCATGAGTCGTAGCAGTGGATCCGGGGGATCCATCCCAAACGCTTCGCCGCCGAGGACGCCAACGTAAGTTGTTGATTCTCTATTTTCGCCCTTTTCCAATTTTGGTTTTATTTGACTAATGGTTATTACTTTTGTGCGGTCTTTCTTGCGACGTGGTCACCCCGGGCCGGCACCCAAGAAGAGTCTCGCCTCATAGGACACAGACGTATTTGCCGCCTTAGAGTCACCCTGCTGGGCAGGTGAGGCCGATAAGATTGGGGCCGCTGCTATACGTACCCGGACGGGCGCCTATGGTGGCTCCCACGCCCATGGAGGTTACCGAGAGAGCGGCCTCCGTGGTGGTCGGTGGAACGCCGGCCGAGGGCCGATACCGCCGATGGAGGTGGTCGTGACCAAGCCGTGCCAGGATCACCGGCGGAGTCGTGGTGGCGCCCGAGGCGAAGTGTAATCCGCGCCACTAGGGGCCCAGGTGGATCAACCTGCTGGTGCTCAAGCTGCCCACGAGGGGAGGGTCTAGCCGAGGGTCTCGAAAGGCGGTGGTGGTGCCGCAGATGGTGGTCAGGG